CCCCTCACACAAATTCATAGGCAATTAATTTACGCTTCTTTTTATTATTTGATTGCATTTAACGTATATATAAAATTGTAGTTCTAGCTTGCTATTTTGAATTCTTGGTTCATGTGCTGAAACGACTGAATCGAATTTGTCTGCCAGCCTCAGCGAATGCGTGTTCGAGCACCAGGTCGGAAGATCAGCAGCTGCAGCCAAGTGGCTGTCCCAAGCGCTCCCGCAAACGTTCCACAGCATCTGCCTGTGCAAAACGCTGCTGCTTCAGTTTGCATGTTTCAAAGGGGCCAATGTTTGGCGTTCACCAACTCGAGGACAAACCAACTTCCTTCGACTGCAGGATTCCCTGGAAGCATGGTTGTAGTTGGACCACGGCTCACAGACGGCCGTGCGCGAAACACTCACTTTTCAACTTTTGCAACCTTTTCCAGGGTCGTTTTTTTTTTGGGGGGGTTTTTTCGAGGGGTACCTTTCGGGTCACATGCATTTGCGCGCACAAACACACAGCCCAGTGCACACACAGGTGGAGACCGCGCCGGGGTCCTTGGCGCGCGTGCTCACACACGCACACACGCATTGACTACTCAGCTTGCGTGATGGAGACCCTTGTCGTCTATGTTTTTTCGCTGCAATTGCCACTCTCAAACATTAGCAAATTCCATGGCATCACCGCCTACCCTCCATGTAAGCGGCGCAAGGCCAGCACGAGTCAGACCCTAGTCTCCGCCATCGGCTCACTCAGTGAGATCTGGTGCTTTGAGCATGCAGCTTTTCGAGCCTGTGGACTTGACCAGTCCTGTTCACATCGGACATCCAGGTGTCATCATCATCGGCGGCTTCTTTCCCAAACTCTCAGCTTTATGGCGCTGTAGGAGCCACTCTTGCAGCCCAGCTCGGGCGCAGTCAGCTTCCAGTGTTAGTTCACGCCCGAGACCTCGAGCTTCGCAAGGGCCCCTGCCTCACCACTCCAAGTGACTGGTCAGGATTCACGGACTGGTGCTACCAAATGATTGAAGCTAGCGGCCTCAAGACAGCTTCCAAGACCATGAAAGGATTTACTACGCTGGCAGAAGAAGCTCTCATCGTGCTTGCTCGGGCAGAAATCGCGTTCTTTCATGGCTGTGCTCAATTCGACCGAGCCCACGCGTGCTTCACTTGCAGAGAGAGCTTGCCCGAAGGTGAGCTGATCTGGACTCGACGATGCTGCTGACGAAAACACTTGGCATCCTCATTCTTGCGAGCTTTCGGTCCAAAACGAAGTAGTTTTTCGGGCTACTTTTGTTGTGCATTGTCTTCAAACCGGGCCTATTTGTTCTTCTTCATTGCAATCACCCTGTATTTACGGCTTGCATGTTGACATTGACGTTTCCTGTTGACTGCACAATCGTTAAATCTTGAACGGTTGTCTATGAGCCGTGTACCCTGTAGTTTTGCCCGTACGCAGGATAATCACTACATACCTTGCAACAACAAATCAAGCTGTCCACCCCTCGACTAGTTCCCAAAGTCGGCTGAGGCCCGCGCAGGTGCAAAGAGCTCCACTACCTGGAAGTGTCTTGCAGCTGGGATCCATCCGCGGATCCATTCCCGAGTTTTTGAACGCAGCTTTGTGACATCCAAGAGAAATGAATGCAACAAGTTGGGGAGTCTGCTAGCCAAGTGACTTCCCCCAAATTGTCTCAATTGATGCTGGCACCGCTCAAGCCTTGAGCTCCCCGGCCTTGAGCATGTGCAAGGCTGTGCGGACCTCACGGCATCTCTCTTGGTCAAAGGGCTGCGGTTTGCCTTTGGCTTTCCTTCTGGGAGCTCTCTCGGTCGGAGAACTTAACTTAATAGGGCACGGTGGGGCGAGGCTGAAAACTACGTGGGTTGTCAAACTACAGGCTGTTGGGACCCTGAAGTCATTTCGGCCTTCAGAAAAGAGGACCCCCGATCGCTCAAGTCACTCACTGTGGAACAAACACCTTTTGGGTCCCGACACGGGGTGTTCTGTTTTTGGGCTTTGTGATAGAATCGTCACAATGCTGGGTGACCCTGTTGGCGCCTTGACCCCGGGATTAGATTCGCCACCCGGCACCGTCTCTTGCATAGAAGTGAATCCGTGGGAGAGTGAAGGAACAAGAATTGTGTTCATGCTTCTCTCAGTCGGCCTTCAGATAGGGGCGAGAATTGCGCGAGACCCTTTTTTGGCTGTTTCAAGACAGGCAATGGCGAAACCAACCAAAGAGATCATGCCACCAAGCGTGGTAGAGCAGCAGAAGGAGCAAACCCAACTACATGGTTCTACGAGTTATACTCATTCACTATACACGGCGTTCTCAAGAGAAGGCCACAAAGTGTTACTGTGTCCTGGCCATCTTCCGCAAGCAAACTTGTATGGGTCCCACAAAAAAATGAACCGACACCCAAACACGTGTGCTTTGCCTGGGCAAGGGATCCACTCCGGCGGTCCCTGTCCCCAACCACCAGCCCCTGCTCACCTTGGCGTTCTTTACGACCGTTTCAAATTCTGCGTCCGAAGCCTTGACACAGTTCTTGCCGAAACATTGGACGCCTTTTGGTTGCTGATAGACTGAAGGGGTTGATTCCCGCTTTTGGAGTCTGACTCATGTCTGTCTGCTCTGACACAAAAGGGCGTGTCCGGCTTTGAAAGGCACCCTTCATAGGCTGACTCTTGAAAGGCCAAAGGGACACCGCGCATTTTCTCGTGCGTCTCCCATGACGTGCGTCTTACCCATGGCTGGGGCTCCGTGGCTTGTGTGGGCACCGCGCCCTGCATCTCTAGGTAGCGCACGGCCTGCGGCGGGCATCACTTCTCACTCGCCCGGAAAGCGGACGGAACCCGCAGCCGGCTCCGTGCGATGCTTCTTGTGCAAACAAAAGATCGAGCGGTCGTTGTCGAAGGTGGCCAGGGGCAGCCCCGAATCGAGATCATGGTTTCAGACATATTGCCGTTTCCATGTGCTTGAAGAGCTCAAGCTGGACGAAGCCAAACACTGGGCAAGGGGCAGCCACTCCCCGCGCCAGTGCTCCACCTCTTACCCACTGGCGCAAGCACGGGAAAGGAATGCGTCTAACCACCACGCAACGAAACATCATCATCTTGGTGGTTTCTCTTGAACCCCCCCCCAAAAAAAAATATAATAAAGGGGGTGCCTGGATGTCGGTCTTGACGAGACGCGTACCCATGAAATCCGCGCTTCAAAGGATCAAGCTTCACCGAGGCATTTTAGAGGACGGAGGCTCTCAGGTTCATTGAAGTCCCACGCGGAGGGAGGAAGGGCCTTGGCAACAGTCGACCATTGCCACCTTCGTTTTTCCTTTTGATGGTTGGGAAAACGCCTTTGAGACCTGCTGTTTTTGCTAGCTCCAAAAAAGCAACGGCAGGCACCCACGCTCGCCTCGAAGACAATACTCTCGCGGCGCAGCTCGTCGGCCTTCTCGTTGTGCGCCTCCATCGAATCCGAAGGGGCAGTCATCGGCCGGGCTTTGGCGCCAGTGTTGAATGATTATAACTCTCAAGATATATCGAAAACATGCGGAATGACAATATGGCTGAGGCTGCTCAAAATCCGGTGCTTTCACGGGCTTCGTGTCCCCTTCCGCAGGAGCAAAGCATGTTCAAGCACTTTTCAGGCACTTGTCTCATTCCTGGTATCTGCAGCCCCTTGGTGTTCCAAGCTGCCGGCCATTCTTGATACAGGCGATTCCTTTTGCCATAAACACTGAACAGGCATCGTTCACATCATGTTGTTCAGGCATATGTATACAGAAACATGCATCATGCACATTCATGTCTAAATCCAGTCACATTCACCTATGATGTTTACAAATACGATATACATGTGCATATCACACATACGTGAGCAGTTCACAATGTATCAGTCTATCGCAATGGCCAACCTGCAACTCAAAACAGTACTTTGGCCATCATGCATGCTGTGCTGCAAATGGCTTCGTCCAAAGGGAATCTCATCCCTCAACTGATGGGTGGCTTTCTTGCTCGATTCATGTCTCTCTCACTCACTTTCTGCAGCACACAGCAACAGAACCCAGGCCAGTCTTTTTGGACTGCTTTCATGAAACAAATACTAATCTCAAAGCCCGACACACTTGCGCTTTTGCCTGCCTGCGTCACCTCCGTCTTGCTTTCCTGGGCTGCACTCTCAGCCAAACAACCCACGATATGCTGCAGCTCAAGCCTAGGATCACAGCACAGTTTCCGAGTGTTGTCATTTCAAGCTCCATTTCGGCGGGAGAATCACCCTTTGCCTTCTTTCTTTGTCATCTTGAGCGGGGCTTCGACCGAAGCAACAACAAACTAGACCACGCCAGCCCATGCCAAAGAGGATAATGTGAAACCAGCTTTGCGGCTTAAGGATCCTCATCTTTCAAAGGCTAAGATGTTGAAAGAAAACTATACTCTCCTGACAATAAACAAGAGGAATCTTCGAAACACGCATCTGGAGGGGAGCCCGGACACATATCAAATTTGGGTTGACCTATGGGGGGTGGGTGCGTATTCGTCCAGCTACTCCTCAGCTGTGTCCACATTGTCAGCAGGAAGAAGCTGCACTCATGATTCAAGAAGTGGATTTGGCCAGTCTCGATTGCTCTGTTCCCTAAGGACAGATACATTTTCTCGAAAGACATGCGCAAGAGGAGCACTTTTTCCCACTGCAAGGTTGAAAATCATTAGTGTGGAGGGGGTTCTCAAAACCGAAATAGTGGGTAATGCTGACCATGCACGCCTGCCGTGAGCACTCCTGTGGGTTTATCTCCATGACTCTAAGTAGGAACTTAGGAACCCGTAGAATGAACCCGTCCACGATCCCCGGCAAAGGGACTCGTACACACATCATGGCTGAGTTCATGGCCAGGGCAGCTTGTCGCTCGAACAAAACTGTCACATCTTGGGCCCAGACCAGTAGCTTGCGGCAATCCTGCAGCAGGCTCTCCCTCAGCGCATCGATACGCGCTCATTGGTCTGGAGATTCCAGTGCGGGCTGAAAGCTGAGGTACGGGGCGTTACAAGGGGTTTGGCTGATGGGGGAAAGGAACAAATTTGCCATTCAGGAGCACTTGAATCAAGAGCGCTTTGAGGTTCATAAGCTTGAAAGAAAACTCACATCCCAGCCAGCCGCCCACTTCTGGTAAGAAAGAGCACAGGTTCTCTTTTAGATTCTTAGGACATGGGGTCCTCTAGTTCGCCACCCACACCTACATTGCAGAAAAACAACCAGCATGCTCAGCACCCCGCGTGCGCGAATGCAGGGCCGCCTGGACGTGATCATACGACTATGATGCTTAATTGGCAGGAACCTTTGGTAAACATCATTTCCCAATGTGAAAACATAACTATATACGTATGTAATATACTGTCTGTATATAGCCTATAACTCTGTACCACACAGTTCGCGCATGCCACCTCAGGCAGCAAGCATAGATCCATCAAAACGGGCGCCTATACGGGTCGACTTGCTCTGGCTCATTTGGGGGGGTTACCTCTTGTCTTACCAGGATCTCGATTTCCTGAAGCTGCAAGCTCCACCTCACCGGCAGGCCAATCGGCAGCAGCGCTCGCTGCAGTGCGCAGCGCTTGTGGCAAGCGCAGCCTTGCACGGCTGAACCGACAATGCGGTCAACTGCGCATTTTCCGCGATGCGGCGATGTATTGGTTAAGAAGTACTTGTTGGAGGCTTCCGCGCAAACTAGGAGGAACCAAAATCTTACCCAAGGAATGCGAAATAGAGTCGATCGTCCATAGGGTCTCCATGACTAAAACCAGGCCAGCAGCTTGGCACCTGGACCCAGGGAATGTCTCCCCAAGTCAGGCCATGTCTGAAAGCTTTTGCCCTGGCCGCTCGGAAGGCCGCTCCGAGATCCGAGCTCCATCTCTGTGAGGACCTGGCACTGAAAAGGCGGCGTGAAGCAAAGGCTGCGGCGTGGATTGGCCAAAGAGAAAGACAGGGCCAATCTTTGCCATTTTGCAAGCAAAATTGTCTTCTCAACAAGGTGTTAAGCCGTCAAACGGAGGAATTGAGCAAGGGCTGGTTGCTTTGCTGGCCAAAGATCCATGAAGATTCAATCAGGCTCTCAAGACCCGTGTTCGACATTCACGGCAGTGTTTAGTCTGCTTCTGCCTAATTGACCCTAATAGCGCTTGCTAAGCCCACATCGCTTCTCAATCGTTTGGGGGTCTTGAGGGGTTGTAGGGTTCCCGAATTTTGCTACAGTGTTTGTGGACCTATTCGCAAATAAAGCAGTGACATGGAACAGCTCGACCCGAAACCGGCACCAAAAGAAACACTTCCCACTTCCCACACAAAGCCACCTCCACCCGCACACATACACAAACACCAGCACAAAACGCAGACGAAGACACCAACACCCACACACACACAAACAAACACAGACGCAAACACACGCGCACAAAAGCACAAACACAAACACACATACACAAAAAACATACTCAAATCGCAAACACACAAAAAAACACACACAAGAAGAATACAAACCACACACACACATGCGCGCCGCGATGACTTAAAGAAGAAGATCCCCCAAAAACCAATCAACCTCCTACCAGCCTCTCTGACCCTACACCATCCCACCTCGTTCTGCAGGCGCAGGCGCAGCAGCGGGTCCAGCGGTGCGAGCGCTTGCCGCTGCGCGTCCCAGGCCAACTCCCGCACCTCGCGAACGAGAAGACCTTGCGGGTCCTGAGTCACACGGAAAGTAGGGAAATGAAGACCCCAAATGTATATCCTATCCCTGCAACGACAGACTTTTTTTTTGGCCAGTTGCTCATGTTGATTCCCGGCTCAGTGGAGGTTCCTAGGATCGGATGGGAACGCCGACAATACCCCAAACCCATCAAATCCATTTGCATTTGAGCACACAACCGCTATGTTTTCAGGGTGAGAATGCTCCTAGAAATCTTCAGCTACCAAGGTTTGGTTTTGGCTCACCCTCCCAGCAACTTACCATAAAGGATTCACCCAAAAGGGCGGACCTTTTGAGAAACAAGCATGCCGTGCGAGCAGGTACTTTCAAGATGGCGGAACCGGCAAGCAGGATTTTCGATGGTGTGTTTGTTGCACCCGAGTGCTTTCGATTAGGACCGATTCATTGCACAACCAATGTGGCGTCTGCGACACAAACACAGAGACTCCTCCTTGCCCCTCTGCACCCCTTTTTGGGTGCAGGTATCATTTGCTAGCTGTGACGCTTGAAATCCAACATGGATCAAAATGGCGCAGACATTCCCATTGCCACTCAAATTCGCCTGGCGCAAAAAATCCTGCCAACAGTTGAAATGGCGCTCAAAATGAAGAAGCAGCACCTCAAGTCTTACCCGAATTCCGAAACCCAACAACCCAAACCATTGCTGTTGTCCATGTCATGCTTGTCTTTGCTAGCAATTTGATCTCGCCAGCATGTGCGTCTTCGCTCGGTTTTTGAGTCACGGATTGTCATCTTAAGCAGCCTGAACGCGGCGTGCAAAGACATGTATCTCCGACTGCATTTTCAACTTCAGTTGTAGCCTCACAGTAGCCTACATTTTCAACATCAGCTGTAGCCTCACAGTAGGACTAATTGTCACAACAATGATACGACAGCCCCCTTGGGGCGTGCAAGTTGAAATGAACTCGAAGCACAGGCCCCAACAAAATACATACATGTACCTCACCCAGCTCAACCAATCTGCGGGCCTGTTTTCGAAAAGTCAATGGGTGTTTTTAGGGTCGCGCGTGCCAACAACCCCAGCTGGCCAAAGATTCACTTCGCATCGCTCTGCAAGACGGCAAGACTCGATAAATTTGTCATCCCTTAAACTAGTTGAGTCAACCACTAAACCGAGGTTGATGAACCATCCCTGACTCCATCTATTATCCACCTCTACCGGAAGTGGGGGGGGGTCATTCAAAATGCTGACCCCTGCAAAACATCACCTTGACCCGCACCTCCAGGCGGCTGCGGTAGTCCTGCCGCGCTGTGTATCTTCGCTTGGAACCAGCCCAGAGCGAGAGACTGGTGATTGCCGGGGTGAAGGGACCACAAAGCGTTCGAGCCATTGTTGTTGAGATGCGCCAGTTCAAGCTGAGCAACCATGGAAGTACGTCAAAACCTGGAACCTTTCGGTGATTTTGACGGGGGACCCTGGGTCTGCCGGTCTGACGGTCTGACACATCCCAAAAATGCCTCACCTATGACACAGACCGGAAGTAGACGTGCTTTTGATAAGGCTATTTTGAGAAAGGAAGAGCCTCCAGGTTCTCGGCTAAGCTCCGCATGACTTCTTGGAAGACCATGGCAGGCTGCCTGCTCCTGGCCCAAGTTACGGAAACACACCCCGAGTTGTGGACAGTCATGGACAGTCGCACGCTCGTGGGCGGTCGCGCCTTTTTTGCAAGTAGTGGAGACAGCGCTCCGAAGCCTGAGCGCAGTTGGCTTGGGGGCCGCCTTGGAAGACGTGATCCAGAGAAGCCTGGTTGGCATTCTGGCGATCCCAAATCTCGAGTTCTGCATCCCGAATCCCGAACCCCGAATTCTGAAATACCAAACATGGGATTCGCAGATTCCAAAACACAAATCCCAAAGCTGGGTTGGGGGGGGGGGTGGAATCGCGGATGGGGATTCGCCCGATCCAGTTTCAGTTTCAAGTCGCGAATCCCAAAGGCGACAGCAATGCCTGGTTCGCCATTCTCCCAGAGGGTGCAGCGATGCTGAAGCAGTCGGCACTAGCCCACCCTTGCCAATGAACCCAGTGAAGCTGAGCATGGCCAGAACCAGCGGGACTCAGCGGCAAGCGGCAAGCGGCACGGTTCTCGGAGGACCCGGCCTCGTACTCGAAGTGCAAAGCTACCTCCTTGTGGAAGAGCCGCTGGACCTCGGAGGAGACAACCCATGCAGGACGGCCAACCCTGAAAACGCATAGGGTTCATCCAAGAATGCCCATGGCATCTCGTTCAAGGGCAACCCCCCCCCCCCTCCGTGGCACTCTCTGGAAGGTGGCTGATTGTCCGTGTGCGCCCACGCCCCCACTGGCCCACGCCTTGCTGTGGAAGTTGCCGTCTAGCTTGGCCTCCTCTTCTTCTGCTCCCAGGAACCGCACCTCAGGCCCATCTATTCCGTGGACCAGTTGGTCTAAATGCCACACGTGCATCGTGCAATGAGCCACCGGCCAGCAAGTCAGTCCACCTCACAGGCAATCCGTGGATGCGTTGGATACGCATGCACGTCTCGGATATGGACCCCGCATCAAGAGGGAAAATCTTCAATGGCCAACACGCACCACGACAACCCTGAACGCATAGGATACTAATCCTTTGGGATCGGTTAGCTGGTTGTCTCTCCTTCTGTGACCTTCAGCGGGTTTGGCGCTGACCCGCAAACAGTCCGTCAAGCGAGGACTGCGAAACCAACTTGGTTGAAACCCCCAGCTTTCGTAAGACGTCCGTTGTGATGCCAAAACTCTCCGCGACTGTTTGATCTGAATCAACTTTTCGCATCGGCAAACCAACAGTTCGCGGTATACCATACACCTGCAAGTGATAAATCTGCCCAGCTTAGCTATTAGCGCCAAGTAGGTCAATCTGCCCCAGGCAAGGCAACCCCCGCAAGCAGATCTTTGAAGCCCAGAAACCAGAAAATCAACCTAGAGTCAAATCAGAAGCTGAAACAGTTTCGAGTTTGGAGACGTACAGTCTGCCTCCGCGGTCCGAGGCTGGTGCTCTTTCCTCAAGGCAGAGCCTCGCCCTCGAGCCGCCTGCCATTTTTGTTGGGTTGCTCTTTTGGGGGGGAGAGGCGGGCCAACACGAAACCACTGTTCCCCCAGGTCTTCTGAAAAACTCAGGAAACCAAACAAGCAGGAAATGGGGCAAGAAAGGCAGGTGGCACCGGTAGATGAATCAAACTCAAATAGCCGTTCTCAACCAAACTGGCCAAAGGCTGCCTGTGTCTGGATGCATCAGTTTCCAGTCTGGCAAGCCCCCATGGATCCCCAAGCTCTCGCAGGCAGACCAGGTCAACGAGGCCGTGGCTGGACCATAGATTGCTCCAGGCAGCCTGCCGTACAATCCCAAGCATTCAAAGGGCCAACTTCGGACCCACAAGCACTCCAGCTCCCGGAGAAAAAGGAAAAACGGCGAGGAGTATGTCTTGTGCGACATGGCCATTCCAGGGATTTACCAAGGGCCGACAGCAGTTTCACACGCCCAAGCCGCCTGTTCACCGCCACCGAGACCCGCATTTGCCTTAGGGACTTGGCTCACTGAGGCGAGGCCCCGCTACCCTTCGGGGATGGAAGCCGGAAGCCTCATAGGTCTAATATCGTAAACCAGCTCAGCAAGCAACTCATGTTTCAGTCCCACAATTGGGCCCAGGGTAACCTGACGGCCACTTAAAGATAAATCAGAGCTCCAGGCAGCTCCAAGTTGGTAGGTTCACCATCGCTGAGCTTGATTAGCTCGTCCAGCAGTTGATGAGGATGGCCTCGGGTCAGGGTTCCGTGTCGAGTTTTCAAAGTTACTGCAAATTCGCCGCCAGCTGAGGGAGTCGCAAATGTCATTCTCGAAAAGCCTGCAGGCTTTGGATTCAAAACCTAATAAGGCGCACCCGGCAATGGTGGAATTCCCCACAACGGGTCCCAGAAATCACCCTAGCCTTGCTTAGCCAGTAGTAGCCCCCTTTGGACATGTGGCCTGGGCAAAACTGCTTGCCCACCAGCAATGTGGCTGTCCCGCCTCTGGAGGGCATCGCAGAGTACTGAAACTTCCTCGAGGGCTCCGCAGCACGACAGTCCCACAGGCTCTAGGCGTGACATTGCAAATCCCGCTGTCGAGGGCCCACCCAGTCCCCATAGTGTGGGCACCTCGCGTCTACGGCCTCTGGTAGACTGGTGTCCTTTCGTCATTTCGGGGAACCTCACTGACCACTGGAGAATGAGGAGCGCACCACATCTGGCTGCTCGAGGTATTTCACCATGGCAGCGACCTCTATTCAACGTGACATAATTGGTTCATGAAGTTGTGAGCAAGAACATTCTGCAATTCAAGTCGCGAGAAAACGTCGTCTCTACGGGGCAGATGTGCCTGTTCCCTGCCAAACTGAGACCGCAGCAACTCGATCGCTACCTCCCTGTGCCAAGCGGGCAAACGCCTCTCGCTCGCAGACAGTGCTCAGCCAAGTCTGATACCCACACTGGGCACAAATACCAAGGCTTATCTCGGCATGGCTCAATGTCAATCTCCGGGTCGACAGGTTGATCCACCGGGGCATCCCGATCAAACTCCACGGGGTGTATCCCTCTGGGGTCAGCTGAACATTGGGTACGGTAGCCGCGCCGGGTCCTTTCGGGTCAACTTTGACTCATTGTGTCACAACTAGGACCCGCTTGTTGCGCCGATCTGAAATCAAACAGCAGAACAACGAACGAATTAAAGTCGATTCGGAGTTGCAACAAACAGCGTCTCAGATTCAGCGGCCCCGAAGGAACGGACTCTTGAGTCTCCTTCCGATGTCCCTTTCAACCTCCAAAGGGCAACGGGAGGCACGCCTCGCAAGCCAAGGTCTGTAGCTTGGAATCCTCGGGGAAGGCCAGCGCCGCCTGGATAGAAATGGAAAACGCCCGGGAATGTCCGCACTTAGGCCGAAGGGTGATCCCTTTTAAGCCTTTCTGGGATGACTCAATGCGAGGTCCATCACACTTAGAAGGCAAAAAGAAGGCTGAAAGGGGGACTGGTTGGTGTTTGGGCGGCGGGGGGGCAAAGGCGGCAAAGTGTTGACCCTTCTTGGGGCTCTCCTCGAAGGCAGAATAACGTGTCACCAGCTTCCTAATAAGGGCTTTTTCTACAACAGCCCTCGGGAGCCATATAATATTCACAGCATAGGGATGTGTCAAGGCTGGCTGTTGTTTTATGGTGGTTTTCTTGTAGGGGGGTCAAACTCGGCTTGATACAACATCCTTTGTGGGATGAACATCTGCCAGGGTCTCTGCTTTTGCACCGTTGGAGGGGAGGCACCCTGCTACAGGCGTGGTGCTTCAGGGCCTCTACAACCACAGGCAGCGCGAACGGCAGGACCAGCATCGCCACGTCTTGGACGTAGGCCACACCTCTGACCAACAATAAACAATGCGGGAGTCGGGAGTACGGAGTTTCCGATATATATATATATATATATACTAATTTGAGGGACTCGCTCTGGACGGTGTTGCCATGAAAACAAAGAGGAACCATAATCTCTGCGGAGAAGGCCCCTTTTTAGGATGTTGGACACACACTTATATTTTGGCAATGCGGAGCTGATCTTTCGAGGTAAGTTGACCGGAGTCAGGCACTCGGAACCACCTGCCGCAGGAACGCAAGGGCCTACACACGTTGTTTGCTCTGGCGCTCAACCACCATCCCCGCAGAAAAACACGGGCCCACTGCCACTGCTGGAAGAATCATGTCCAATTGGGACACTGACTTATACCATGCCAATCAACGTCCACAGGTTCAACTAAGCAGCCCAACAAAACCCAAGGGCAATGTTCCGTCCACGGCATCTAAACAATTTACTACCGCAAATCATAAACTAGTCAAACTTCTGGTGGTAGGATCATTTATCGCTCTGATCGACCAACCTAAAAATAAGGGTAACCTTCATTGGTAGTGAGGTTGCAAACCTCTTTGCCCGATCGCAAGTATCGCCCAAACGAACTCCGCACGGGCTGAGTGCAGCACTGCTCAGCGCCGCCACTGCCAATCTCTGCAAGGTTAGATTCTGCCGCCTGGCTCGCATCGGCCGGCCGTCCCCCGTGTGGCCTTCCAGCTGACTTAGATCCAAACGTCTACCGCTTCGCTGATTCGGTGTGATCGCCTCTGGAGTAACCAAATAAATGCCCCCGACTGAGAACACCCGCAAGTATACTCTGATCGAATTGCTTTGTCTACAATTAAGATTGAACAACTCACAAGTGTTTTTTTCCAAGCCAGCTCAATTGTTAAGCACCTGGGATTGTGTCACCTTTCTCCAAGGGTTTGCCAATTTGCACCAGGTTCGGAGGAATGAAGCGAAGGACTCTGTAAGAAAGATGTCGGTTGAGGGCAATCGATTTCCCTTTTGGCGCCGCGTTCAAAGCGTCTCCCAAAGGGGGGGACCACGTTTTGCCCAAACTAGATCAGACCAAAGCCACCTGTGCAAACATGCTCTTGCCCCACCCATTAGCGCGAGAGATAGGCAAGATTCCATGTGCAAAGCCGCCAGGAAGTCAACTCGTAGGCCCAAGACATCCATAGCAACTACACCAATTTGACCCATCCCTGCCTCAGGGCTGCAGACTGTGCCACTGCGCAAACCACACCCAAGCACAAGGGCCGCAAGGCGTGGGCGTCCTCGTGGATTTTCAGCGGGTGTCGGAAGTTCGAAGGAAAGACGTGTGGGTGATGTTTAAAGGGAACATGATGCATTGCCCGGGTAATTCGAACTGGAGACCCTTAGGTGGACATCGCTTGCATGGGGAGCGATGTCCACGAACCAGTTTGAGGCTGTTTTCATCTGACTGATCTTTGAGAATAACAATTGTACATGGCACCCTTTGATGAATCGGTGACAAAGAGTCTCCCATCGGAGCAAGACTGGACGAAGAAACGTATTGTCGCTTGTCGTTTGTGCTAGCTCTGCTGCAGCGGCTCGTTTGCTGCAGTGTATCCCCTTTGAACAAAGACATCCCTCCGTCTGTTGCATTGCTGCTTCAATCGGCCCCAAACAGACGGGGTCATTTTATGGGCACCAGCCCAAAGAAAAGCTGGAACGATTGATCTTGAAGGCACATCAATCAACCAGAACCATTGACGTTCTCCATCACCGGCCGAGGACAGGGAGGGACTGATCCCGGAATTCATTCCCCAACCCTCCAACCGAAATGGAAGGTCCTTGGCGAGGCGCGCCACCGCCATCAGGCACGCGCGCTGCAAGCCTCGATGGTTTCGGGCCCGTTTTGGCCCGTTTTGGTGTGGCGGCGTTTGTGCTCATGGGGTTGATCTCAAGGAGGGACAAGGACAGCCGTTTTGCAGTTGGGTTTACTTGTTCAGGCAATCAACTGTGGCCAAGGGGAGCCGACTTCGGACAAACAGAACAGGTTCATAGAGCTTTAGGTGATATTCCAAAAGGCTACAATTTATTGGGGTCTTCTATAATAGGGTGCCCTACGATGGTCGTTGTCCTTTTAAAGAAAGGTTCGCTATTGAATCGCCACCCAGAATGTTCAGACTCTTCACCGAGGAGACCACGGCTTTGGGCCAGGGCCTGTTGTGGGTACCCTCGGTTGAAACGATACCAAAACGTGAAGCCTGGGCTTGCAGCATTGCCTTCCCTGAGTTGCTTGCCTTCCTTGCCCATCTTTCCTTCCTTGGCCGTGCCATAATGTAAGTCTCTTCCCTGTTGTCTTCTCATTGCCTGATGCTTGCGAGTGTTCATTGACAGACTTGCTGGCGTTGGCGCATGGCTCATGCACTCCAAACAAGGAAGTACGCCACATGCCAGTCGCGCCAAAGTGACACCGCAGCTTCCCTGCTCACAGCCCATGCTTTCCGACTGGGCGCGGTCGTCCTCTGTCTTCGACTGCATCAGCTCCAGCACCTCCGTTCCAATTTCGACCCCAGCGAGCAGTGCCCAAAATCCGACAGACGTTTAGCTCAACCAAGACTTGCTGTGCAGGTGAATATAGGCCTCAGCTAGAACCTCCACTGAAATGTCTAAACAGGCAGGTTTGGGCCTGCTCCAGTGGACAGCTTGCATCCGCAAGCTAAGACTCTCCATCTTCGCCCAATCACGCGCTCCCTGGGGCTACTGCTGATCCCAAGTAGGCGAGCGAACACCAACCACTGGTAGGAATCTCCAACTTCGGAACAAGTGGCGAAGAAACACAGAAAGACCACGACATACCAGAACATTTTGCACGGGGCTGGGACTACCTGTCCAGGAAGCTTTGTCCACTCTGGGCGTCGCAAACGCAATTCCTGGCTTCTGGGTCTAACGTTTGCCCTTAGTTCAAAGGACACCCCATGCGTGTGGCTATCCTCTTTCAGGCTGCCTTCACTTTCAACCAGAACGGGGTCAACGGACACCGAAACTGAAACCACGGTCGACCTAAGCGCGGGCTGCTGAGCCTAAGATCCATTGCTTCATGTTTCGCATGTACCAAAACTTGGGGCGAGCGCCTTCAGATTTGTTCGCTCCTTTCGACTTTCAAGTCCACACGGTATCTTGGCGTTCAAACTGGGTGCATCATATTTGAGGGTTCCCTATGAAAGGAACCACAGGAGAGGTCGCGAAGCTTTAGTTTGCCTAGAGTGACTGAAACGTGCCAACCAGCTCTCATTCGAGGGGTGCCATCATGCACAGCAGCGTGGGATGACTCAGGCCAGCGCCAACGCCAGGTCAGTCAAGTCGTTCACGGCGGATGATTTGGAGGCTGTCCGCAAAGATTGAGGAGTCTCTGGGATCACGGGTGCGATGCCCGGAGCCAACGTTTGTGTCGCAGAGTCCGCAAGTCTCTCCGGCGACTCTCGGCCTTTGGAGAGCTCCGGAGTCTCCGTGATCACGTCGTGGGTGGACGCCCGCTTGCGGGCAGGGTACGCCGGGAGGACTGGACGCTCAGGAGGCGGCTGGCTCGCGTACCTGAGGCAGGGTGGGGACAGCTACCTGCATCATGCTCAAACCATCTTGGACCAAAATCCGCACACACACACACACATTCACACTCTCCTTTTGGCCTCTTGGCTTCGAGTTCCCCGTTTCAGGGGACGAGGGTCTTCGAGCCAGGCTTGCATCTCCCTGCCTGAAGGCCGCCCCGGGCTGCACTTCGTCCGGCTCCGTGCGGCGGGACAGAGCCAGCCGGAGCAAATTTTCCTGCAAACCCAAAAACCAACCAGCGCATGGCTGGCATAGTAAAGCCCTCGCAGAGTAGCAACGCAGTCCATACGAAGAATCCACTTGCCAAACGAGAGGCACTGACTCGGACTCAACTTTCAACCGAAGTGATTGCCAAAGTTGATTGCATGCATTGATTCCAAGCAGGGCGGCTGGAACAATACGTTCAGACGAGAAACAAGACAAACAGAGCGAGAGTTAAAGAGAGAGAGAGCGAGAGAGAGGGAGAGAGAGAGAGGGAGAGACAGAGAGAGAGAGAGAGAGAGAGAGATAGTTCCTTGCAAGCGACATGATGTGGCTTGCTTATTGTCAACTGTAGCCGGGCTAGCTAGTCAAAATATTGATGTGTCAGACAATGCGCCAGCCACCCTGCTGACAATCTGATTCATTCCCTCCCCTCCCCGTTCCCCCACTTCTTCCTTCAATGGCAACGCCAACAAGTTTGGTCGGTCCTGTACGGTGGGCTAAGAACGCACCTGCCCTATAAACAGCAAAGCGTCAACATGATGGGCTCATGGGAGCTGTCTCTGCAATGGGTCGCAGTTGGGTCTCTGGGTCCTTCTTGGCGGCTTCCACCGCGTACTGCCGCAGCAAGCCCCCTGTGAGGCCCAGGTACGGCCGCCTCTCCCGGAGCGCCGCCTTCACCTCGGCCAGCTCCTCCATCGAATTTTGCTGGGTCGGCCCTTTGAGTCCGCGAGAACCACCAGGCCCGATGCAAATGCCCGCCAAAAGGGTCCAAGGAAAAAGTCGATTGCCAACTCATGCCACCAAATAAGGCACGCTGTGACCATGAAAAGGGCACAACTGGAAGATTCTAAGATACATCCGTTGGATTCCATCTTCGCCCGTCCTGTTCCGCACGCTGCAAGTCCGCCGCCAGTGCCGCGGGGGACGGCGCGGCCGCGAGGTTCCGGGCCATGGCCGAGAGGCATAGGATGCCTCGGGCCTCTGGTTCTCTCACGGGCCGCGCTTTCAGCTGTCGAACCCTGCTGGTTTCTAGCAAAAGCGGACTGAGTCCACATCGAGACTCCTTCGGGTGCGAGTGGGCTAAGGGTGTTGGGGGCGGCGCTCCCTTCCAATACAGGGGTTGCTCCAGCTCTGTCATGCTAAACTCTCCGTCTGCGAGTTGGCAGGGACGAGCATGAAACAAGTTTGCCAGACTCGGATGGTGGGGGGGGGAGGGGCGCGGTTGCCGGTGTTGGGTGATCTGCCTCCAACACATCCCGAAAAATGATGTGGTTGCTCAAAGTCATGCGGTTCTCTTTAAAGCCGCCGTGTCAGGTTTCCTGAAACACATGCTGATCGGCTCACAGCCATATGAGCCATAGTCAAACTCTTTCAGTTCACAGTGGTGATCCAATATCCCTGTCAAGGGGTTGCTGAACCCCCCCCCTCCAGCCGCCAAGGCTGGAAAAGGGTGTTTATGACAAACATTTGTGCTTGCGGCATATGCAATCGCCGTGCCAGGGACATGCCTAATCCTTCTGCCATCTTTTGTGGGGTGCCTTAGTTTGACTCATTTCCAACCCCCGAGTATAACGTGCAATGCCTGATGTTGTTGCCAAAGCGAAGCACCAGAATCAAATCACTGGTCGGATGCAGAGTCTTTCCTGCAGCCAGCGCGCGTGAATGAAAGCTATATGTGAACCATAAATGTCGTGCTGGTAGGACGCCGACGCTAGCTAGGAATCCATCAGATGATGCCTGTCCCAGCGCAAAAGCGGTCTTAGAAAACTAGTGAAACCATCGCGCAGGCCACGCTGCGAGTGCCTGCGCGTCCAGGCAAAAAGCAAAAAACACAGACCTTCCGCAGGCAAACTAGGGCTGCACAAAATACAATGCTCTGAATATTCCGACCTTAAGGTGCACTTGCAGTTTCAAGAGGAACCACGCCCAAACTGCTGCCCGAGCTGCGCCAAGCAACCCCTTGGATGCTTGAAGGGCCCAACTCAGGCACAGCTTGATCATCGTTGCCTGTACTGCTGTTCTGCTGGTCTAAAAGCAGCCAGTCTGTCGCCGAGCAACAAGACTAGCCAAGAGAGGAGCTCAGCAGTTACCAGCTAGTTCAAATAAAGGCCGTGGCTGACCCTGGAGCTGGTTTGCCCCACTGGAGCCACAGTCGAAACTTGTTTTGCTCAATTTAAAAGATCCCAAACGCGAGCTGTGGCAAAACAAGTCGAAACCAAAGGATTCACTGAGAGTTTCGACCATGACCCGCCACAGAAGATCCCGCGCTCAAGTGGCACCCAACGGGCTCCACCCTTGCACCAAACTGCCCTGTGCGGAAGAGACATCCCGGAAGCTCGCGATGTGACTCAGTGACTCAATGGGCCTGAGCAGGGGGCACGAGTTGCATTTGCGGCAAACAGGGGAGCAGAAACTGGCAGATTGCCAGGAGTGCACGCCCTAGGAGTGACGGAAGGATCTTCTCTACACACATCCCCATCAACTTGACCTGTCTACTAATCCTCAGTTTAGCCGCGGGCTTACGGGCCCAACCCGGCGAGAAGGATCCCACTGATCTCCACTCGTACCCTGACATATTTGCCGGCGTCCCAAAATAGGGGACGCACTCTTGGTGTACATAGGAACTCTTGAGCCTTTAAGCAAACTGAGCAGGTTGAAGTGGTCTTGGAATTTGATTCTTGGAAATAAGACTTTCCACAAAGGCAAATCATTTTCACTGGTCAACAGGCCACGAAAAGTATATGCTAGTATCAAGCATCACACGGCTTCTTCGCTCCAATGGCAATCTACGGCGACCTCCTGGGAACTGAAGAGCCTAGTCCATTGTGCTCAACCTGTCACGGCCACCAGTTGTGCCTTGGCACTTGCAACCTTAGACGCTGCAAGGCGATGAAAACTCCACCCTCTGCGGTGAAGGAAAGGTGCAGGAAGGCACACCTCCCCTTGCAACATGCCTTCTTACAATGGTCCCTATGAAGTGCGCAACGAGCTGACTTGCACAAAGCACATACTCAGTTTGCGCACCTTCTTTGGCTCAGCTTTACATTTCACGAGGAACTGACTGGACATACAAGTTGGCCGGGTTAGATTTGGCGCCCAGTGGACTGTTGAAGACATCAGACGGGACAAGTAATATGGAACCCCCCCAAGTTCACACCCCAGAAGAGGATTCCCCCAAGAGGTGGTGTGCACTTTCTGTTCATCTTCAGTCTGTTCAAGCACAGCTCATCTTGGCCCGCACATTCACACTGAGCTCGACAAAATTTCAAGCCCAACGCTTGGCTTTTTGCTGTACAAGGTTGCCCGTTTGGGTTGTCATGACTTCACATGGGTCAAACGGAAATCGGATTCAAGTCATTTCGAGGCACTTCGAATCATTTCAGATGCGTCATGCGAGGCTCCAAGCCCGCCCACCCGATTCGGGGCAAATTTGACCAGGGCTTGTGACGCAACTTACGAGACATGAAGGTAACCCAAAACGTGTAGAAAACCATCCTTAGCAGTCCTCTCGCCCAACAAGCGCCATTTCACACCTTGCATTGCGGTGCACACCTCAAGTCCCAAACAACACCAGCCCAGCAACTCTTCGGGTGATATCAAAGCTGGATGGTACACAGGGGGGTTCCCGGCAACAAAAACACTCCCTCGGACTCCCCTGTTTTGTTTGCGATCGATTCCAGGGAAACTGCTACCCAGCTCCCTTCTGCCCGAGGCTCCCGGCCTCTTCTCAAGACGTCTCCGGTATCCAGCATCCTCCGGCATTGACCCATTGAGGCCTTTTTCGTCCAATCACTGGGTGGTAAAGCCATGACTGCAAGAACTAAAACCTGACCCATCCACTTTAGGGGAAATCTATGTATATATATATATATATATATGCTACCGCCCTCGCAGGGACCTACCTTTTGGTTGCCTGTCCAGTGCATTATCTGGCCATCTAGGACTGGAGGGAAACATCTCTCAACTAGGACTAGGACCGAATAAGACTAGAATCAAGGATCTCTCAACTAACACTAGGACCAAACTAGGACTAGACGATCCACCTCTGATTCTTACAATAATTGAATTTCAAGTAGAATTTCCTCTGTGATGTCCTTTATACTTTCCAATTATATATTTCAGTAAACTCAATACTATAACCAAGGATCTCTCAACTAGGCCCAAACTAGGACTAGACTATTCAACTGTACTTCTTATAGTATTTGGATGTCGAGTATTACACTCTTAGGAAATACATTCCTGTGTAACATTTGGATTGAAACAGAGTAGCCTATATTTAAATTCCAACTTAACATGCAAAAAAAAACTAGTTGTGTTCCTTATTTTAAGTTCTACTGTTGAGTTAGCAGTTACATAGCACTTGATGCACATATTTAGCAGGATTCACGCGGAACTTCCTTTGTAATGTCCTTTATGCTTTCTAATTATTTCAATAAGCTAGGACCATACTAGGCCTAGAACCAAGGATCTCCCAACTAGGACTAGGACCAAACTAGGACTAGATTATTTAACTCTAGTTCTTATAGTGGTTGAATTTTAAGTACTATGTTGTAGTCGAAAGGAAATCTTGTGTACCAGTTTTTTGTCAGGACAATCAATATTTAAGCTCCAATTTAAATCAAAATTCTGACTGGAATGTGTCCTTCTTAAACTCCATTTATGTTCAATTAGAATTTGGGTCGAAATAGATAAACATATTAAGTAGAATTCATAAGGCAAAAAATCAGAGGTCCCAAACTTGTGTCTTTTCACTAGTCCTAGCACTACCATGGTCAGAAACACCGTAAAAAACAGTGCTATGTAGCGTTTTCATACTCATTTCACATCTCCACCAAAGACCGCTCTCTGAATGCTCTTTTTGTTTTGAACAGGATTTAGTTGGGACTCAATACGGAAATGCTTGCTCAGAATCCTACTAGAATTATATCTGAAATTCAGAATTAAATAGCATTTCTTTCCCAATACATTCTTACAATTCATTAGACTGTTCGCAGAATCTGACAAGGACAGAATCCAAGCCTGTACTTAAGATTCAAGGTTAAGTATTTTCTAGACAAGTCTTCTCTGCAAACCCGAGTCCAGGCCGAGCGAAATTTCAGTCGAGCCCCGAGAATAGTTTGGCCTGCAATCTTGAATATGTCCTAGATTGAAAAAGTTGAAACAGATTGAATGAATAATCATGACTGGATGCTTGCACAACACTGAGCCAAAGCACGGTCGCGCAAAGTGCAATGTTGAAATTTGGGTCTCGAGTTAAACCGATTTGAACCGATATAAGTTTAAATCGGGCCTGGATTCAAGATTCAAGATTCAAGAATCCAGGGCACACTTTTCCAGGGAATCTTGAATCCAGGCCTCGATTTAAACCGATTTAACTTAAATCGCGCTGGAAAAGTTTGCTCTGGAATCTTGAATCTTGAATCTTGAATCCAGGCCCGATTTAAAATTAAATCGGTTTAAATCGGTTTAAATCGGTTTAAATCGGTTTAAATCGGTTTAAATCGAGCCTGAAGCTTCCCGAATGTCCTGGGACATGTCTTTTTCATTGCTTTCCCCAAAGCCCAAAAAAGGGAAGAACACACTGCACATACCAGTGAATTCTTCAAAAAGGTAGGTCCCTGGGGGGGTATCATATATATATATATACATATCAATGCAGGCGTCGGAATCGAACTCCGGCGCCATGACCAAACAAACGGAGAGAACAGAGCATCGGCAAAAGAATATGGTGCGTGTGTGTGTGTAACATAAACCTTTGCGGACACTAGAAGGCTTGTGGCTTGAGAAACCCCTCCCCACAGGTGTCATTCACCATGTGTCTCCATGTGTGCTGCCAATTGTTCCTGGCAGGCAAAGGATCTCCTTCAACAGAAAGCACGAGAATCCGCGGATTGCCCTGAGAAATTGAAGATACTCCCTGCAAGCACTCATACGGAGCCCTAAACATGGGGGGCCATTTTCCAGAGGGATATGCTTTGATCACATCCAATCCTTTTGCCCTTCCACTTAGAGTGTGACGGGTTCCAGCCCAGATCCCGTCATCAGGTTC